CCGCCAGTAAATACTATTTCTATTTCTCCAATTTCACAACCTTTACAATTAATATCATCACAATTTGGCGCATGTTGAGGAGGGGAGGAGGGAAGTCCAAATTATTTTTTGCGTTTTAAAAATATTATAAATTTTTTTTCTTTCAAAAAAAAAAAATAAAACAACGAGTATAAAAGTTTTTTGTGCGTGAAAAAGAAACCGTATAAAATTTAGTAGAAAACATGTTGTTGTTGTTGTTGTTGTTGATTAATGTTGAATAATTGTTGTTGAGAAGAGGAATCATTTGAATGATGATGGTCAATGAAATCATATTCTTCATCATCAGCAATATAATAAGAGAAAGGAGAGTCAATTGGCATGTTCTCTTGATAGTTGAAGGTTGTAGGAAGATCAAGAGCATAGAAATCATTTTGAAGTTCGGTTGTAGAAGGCAAAGAATTATTATATAGTCCATTCCAATTATTTTGTTGTTGGACGAATGATGTTAAAGGATCGTTGTTAATAACAAGTTCGTTAAGATTGACAGTGTTATTGTTATTGTTATTATTATTATTATTATTATTATTGATGTCAACACAAGCTTCAAAACGTAAAGGTGAAGATGATCTCTCATTATTATAATTATTATTAGGATTGTAATCATTCAAGGAAGGGGTGGATGGAGTTGTAGAAGATTCACCACTAGTCCATGAAGTAATTGATTCCACTGAAGAAGAACGATAATGACTCCAGATATTATCAACAATCAAACCATTATTTTCAAAGTTTTCATTGTTATTGTTTAATAAATTTTTAGCCATGCCTTCTGTTAAAATCTTGCTGGAGCTGGAAGAAGATTTCTTTATGACTTTATTAGTTTTAACTGACATAATGTCATCATTGCTATCATTATTATTGGCTGCACTTTTTGGTTGTTTCTTTTTAGGGGCAAATTTGTAGTTTGGATATTTAAGCCCGTGTTCAATTTTTAACAATTGAGCTTTTTCACGCCAAAAATTTTTGGTTTCTTCGGATTCTTTATTCCACTTTTCAGCAGCGACGACGCTGACATACTTATTATTCATTCCGGGGTTTTGTGAAAGGATCTCGTGTTGGATGTGTTCACGATAGGCCATGAAACAGTTCTTTGGTCTTGGGATATGACCATTTTGTTTACGTCTACGCCATGAACTATTGTTGCTACCATTAGAAGAAGTAGATAATGTGGAGGTCTTTTGCTGTTGAATTTTTAAATTATCAGCAGCGGTAGCAGGTGAAATACGTTTTGTGGTGGCCAAAATGTTCACAGGTGACAAGTTTGAATCATCTCTAGGAACCAACAACACCTCATAACCTTTTGGAATATGGTATACTTCGAATTCTGATGATTGTTCATTATCATTGATATCATATTCATTGTTGGATGGAGGAGCGGGGGCAATTTGACGAAGTTTTGATGGTGATGTGGATGTGGTGGTTGTCGTTGTAACGACAATTGGTGAAGGATTGAATAATGGTGAAGATGTTAATGATGATGACGATGATGGTGATAATGATGATGATGATGATAATGATTGCGTATGTTCAAAAATTGGTGAAGTTGGTGTTGGTGTAGTTGAGACAGATAATGATTCAAACAATGAATCTGATGATTGATTAGAAGGAATATGAGTATAAGACATTTTGAATATGCTTTTTAGTGGAATAAAGAATTTAGTTTTTTTTGTTATGAAGAAGTAGGAATTTTTATAACTCGTTGTTTATTTTTTCTATTTATTTTAAAAAAGAAAATAATTTTTATTAGAAAAGGAAAATGCAAATATAATTTTTGAAAAAAAAAAACTTGTTCAACAAGAAAAGTAAATCGCAAAATTTAGACTGAAAAGAGAAAAAATTATTAATCATGTAATTTTATACAAAATTGTTGGTTACACGAAATTAATTGATAAAATAATTAAATAATTAATATATTTTGTCCTGTCTGACATTTTAAGTAAATGTATTTTGGTAGATGTTATTTATTTATTATGTCCAACAAAAAAAAGTTATAAAATATATAATTTATTTATATTTCAATTAATTTAACAACTAATTAAATATTCCTATTCATTTCTTCAGAATTCTTTGTCTTTTTTGAATTTCAAAAATTCAAACGTGCGAAAAAAATATCAAAAACAGTTTTATTCAGAAATTACCAAATATTATCATTATAATAATTAGACGGCATATTACGTATTACCATATACTATCTTGTTAATATTAATGAAAATCTTTAAAAGTTAAAATGTTTCTCCACTTTAAATTGTACATGTGGTAAATAAAACTGTAAAAGTAAAACAAACAATATCGCCATTAACTTATTAAATGTTAATAACAGGTCCAATCAGGTTTTATTTATTTAGATAATAATGTTAAACGAATTTCCAGGTGTTACAAGCTCTGCCATTTCACTCGTTTAAATTGTTACACTTATTCGATCCCATCCATCTTACTATATTAAAGGCTGAAATTAGTATAATTGGTATGATTATTCAATATTGATTTACTTTTTTTCCACATAGAATAAAAAATAAACACAAATATAACGTAATAAAATCGAAAAATAAACTGTACAGCTTAATACATTTAATCATCAGTATTACGTTAATTTTTAAACTTTTGTGTAAATAATCCAACTCTCGTCTTCTAATCAATCTTCTCGCTCGTAATATTTTACCCAACCATTCATTTATTCAACCTTTAAAAATCATTTTCCCTTGCCTGTGCTCCGTTTTGCAGCAAAAACAATAATTTTTAACAACGTAAACGTCTTTGTATTTGATGGTAAAACCCCAAGAAAAAACATCAGCACAAATGTATTATGTTTTATGTTTTGCAATTATTATGATGTTAAACTGATTCATGATTTGATTATAATAAGATTTGATCAGTTAATTAAGTCTCGACCCTGCGAAATAGTTAATCCGATCAAAATTGATTTTTTTGTGTGTATCATAAACACAAACCAACAATTTTAATTTTCTATTGTTACATTCATTGTTTGATTGGTTTTTTAACAATTATCAATAAATGAATAGAGTGAAATTCTAATATTCTAACGTTCCAATAATTCTATTGAACACGACCAGTTAGGCAGGTGTCTATTATTATCAATCGTGTCAAATCAATAACAAAGGTTTTTTTCATTCTTTGATAAAAATACCTAAATTAATCTTTTATCGTTAAAAATACGCTTGAAACAATGACGATTACTGTCTAAAAATAATAATAAAAATTAAAAATAAAATTAAAACAATAAAAAATAAAATAATTGAAACCTATTCATTTACAAATTGACTCATTGAATAGTAGTATCAGCTAACTAACTAACCTTTCTTTCTTTCTTTCTTTATCCACTTCGCACGCTCTATCTATAGAATCGCGTGGTGTTTTTTTGCAACATCTAAAATAAATTTTAAGTTACGCGAGGGAAAAGTTTTTACAAGAATTAATAGTGTGAAAATGAATGAATAATAATACGATATTGTTTATTTTTTCGTAACATTTTTTTTTTTCATTCATACCAAAAGAAGTTAATTTTTTTTTTTTTTGAAAATAACACGTATCAGTATATGAATATGAATAAATCATCTCACGCATACGCATACGTATTTCCATTTTAAGTTTTTCATATTTACAATTACTTTTTTCTTTTTTTGTTATTATCCGTATCGATTGAGTAAATGGTAATAGATGGTAATAAATAAATAGTAAATAACCATAATTCCTGATTTCTATGACATGGCAAAGCTTGGTTTATATACCGTATATATATTTCTAAGTGTCGGTACTAGTTTTTTATATTAAATTGTGATGTTTTATTGTTTACTTTATAGATAAAAAAATCAAACCGTTACCACAACAAAGTACGGGAAGTTTCAGTCTCGCCACCTATCCATTGATTTCAGTATTAATACATGTTCAAGCATTAAACAGATTTTAAAAATCAATTTAATTCCACCGCTTACTTTTTTTAATGGATGTACTTTATCCATCAAGAATTTTCATGTCTATGAAAAGAATTATACCGGGAAAAGACGGAAATATTTTGATGCTTTCGTTGACAACCGGGTCTGCAACATTTTTGTTGCTTGATGTCTTTAATTTGTTGCCTATGACGATTTTACTTTGATACAACTATAATTTCAATATAAGCATCAAATTTTATTTAATAATACTATCTCTACTTTATGTTGACGATTTAAAAAATAAATTTTTTACATATGGAAGCCCAATAATTATTACTCTCGTATAGATTAACTTTATCATTCATATATCTTCGATTTTCATAAGAACTACAACATTCAAATCACATTTGATTAAAGATTTGTTTCCCAAATCCATCGTCAATATAGTATAATAATCAATCATGTAGGAATTTGCTGATCGATTTTTGTACGTACATCAATCGATGATTGCATTTTGCACTTTTTCAAAATTGTACAATTGCAAATAATAATCTTTTGATTTCTTTGTCATAGGAAAATTTTTATGATTAAAGTGGTTCGAATAGTTGTCTTTTTAACTTCATGGAATCACCACCATTCCATCAGCACTTGGAGAAATTCCCCCATTAAAAAAAAATCTATCTCTTTACAGAAATTTTTCAATATTTGCAAAAACCATTGGATTGGAAAAATGGTTCTGAATAAAACTAGTAATGATTAAAGCATTATCTTGTATCATTAAATAAAAATACGTAAGCGTAAATAATTTAAATTTATTATATATATATATTTATAAGATTGTTTCCATTAATTTTAATAATTCTGAAAAGTTAATGGAAAAAATCGATATTCGGGAGTGGTGTAAATATATCTCTATTATGTTAATAGAGGATATAAAAGATTTTCGCATCACTTGTATAACAAACTATTGATTCTAAATAAATTAATAGCAATTTTCTGATTATGAATGTAATCTTTAATTGGTTGTGCCAAATTATAATCACTTTCATTGTTAATAAGAGCATAGGTGATATAACTTTAATGCTTGTGTGTTTTTACTAGTATGCGCTATAACTTATTATCGTTGTTGAATAAACTTTTGTTATAAATGATTAGTCATTTTAAGATTATTCTAGTCGCCTATTAGCTTTTCAATTCTCCAAAATTTAAAATCGTTTTTTGAAAAATCAAAATTTTTTCATACAATGCTGTTGGTTGTTAAAAGAACTTAACCTCTACCAATAAACAATTAATTGATATTTTAATATTATCAGCAGAAGAGAATGGATTGTTATCCATGTCGTGTCTTTGTTGTTAACAATATACTATGCAAAGAGTAAATTTATTCTAAAGAATTTTTAATTGGCAATCTGTCTAGATAAATCAAACAATTTTATTATACTGCATATTAGGTTTGCTGTCCGAAACTAAACTCCAAACTTGAAAACAGAAACAGTTTTAGAGCTTAAAATGGTCTCGGAGGTTTGAAATTGTTTCAATGGTTTCGGAGGTTTGAAATAGTTTTGGAGTTTCGAACAGCAAGTCTACCGCGAAGTTATTTTATTAGGGTACAAAAAAACGCACACATCAAGTTCTCAATTATATTAGGCTCTGAATATTGCGTATATAAAATTTACATTCCTACTAATATTAAAAATAAAGACATTCGACGTAACAATTTTTAAAAGATCTCTTATTTTCCCGATATGAAAGGAAACTAAAATGATGGATGTTACACTTGAATTTATCAGGTGATGATATATATAAATGGTAACACAGGACCCTGCAAAATTAATAGCAATTTTCTGATTATGAATGTAATCTTTAATTGGTTGTGCCAAATTATAATCACTTTCATTGTTAATAAGAGCATAGGTGATATAACTTTAATGCTTGTGTGTTTTTACTAGTATGCGCTATAACTTATTATCGTTGTTGAATAAACTTTTGTTATAAATGATTAGTCATTTTAAGATTATTCTAGTCGCCTATTAGCTTTTCAATTCTCCAAAATTTAAAATCGTTTTTTGAAAAATCAAAATTTTTTCATACAATGCTGTTGGTTGTTAAAAGAACTTAACCTCTACCAATAAACAATTAATTGATATTTTAATATTATCAGCAGAAGAGAATGGATTGTTATCCATGTCGTGTCTTTGTTGTTAACAATATACTATGCAAAGAGTAAATTTATTCTAAAGAATTTTTAATTGGCAATCTGTCTAGATAAATCAAACAATTTTATTATACTGCATATTAGGTTTGCTGTCCGAAACTAAACTCCAAACTTGAAAACAGAAACAGTTTTAGAGCTTAAAATGGTCTCGGAGGTTTGAAATTGTTTCAATGGTTTCGGAGGTTTGAAATAGTTTTGGAGTTTCGAACAGCAAGTCTACCGCGAAGTTATTTTATTAGGGTACAAAAAAACGCACACATCAAGTTCTCAATTATATTAGGCTCTGAATATTGCGTATATAAAATTTACATTCCTACTAATATTAAAAATAAAGACATTCGACGTAACAATTTTTAAAAGATCTCTTATTTTCCCGATATGAAAGGAAACTAAAATGATGGATGTTACACTTGAATTTATCAGGTGATGATATATATAAATGGTAACACAGGACCCTGCATGGCATGGACAACTCAAATTTTATTTAAAGATAAAAAATATTTTGACTCCATATTATATGAAAATACAAATGACATCCCTCTTTGACTACACAAGGAACTCCTGTACCTGGAATTGGAAAAAAAAAAATTTTTTTTTAACGTAATGTATGAAAGATATTCTAATTTGTTAAATAAGAATGGAGGTGCCCGGAGTTTTTACAATACGTTGCATAATATATAATTAAATTTCAGCACCACATATACATTCTATCAATTTTGGGTTTTTAATTCATGCACAATGAGTGCAAATGCATTTCCAATCCATCGATGATAATATATTAAAGAGAAACTAATAATTAAAAAAATCAATATTTTTAATCACATGACCTCTATATCGATCGATCATATTAAATATTAATAAGCCCACACAATTCCGACATGTTGATTGGTTCTGGTAATGCCTCTTGAGTTTTCTGTTTTGGAAATTATTAGTCGTCAATTTGTCGATTATATATGAATTACCTAATTTATGGATTCTGATATGAAACAACCAGATCCAATAGAAATTGACTCAAATGGAATGAAAATGAATATACACCTTCCAGATCAATTCGTCCATTCAAAAAAAATCAACATCTATGAAACTTCAAGAAAAAAATTTGTATTTATCTGATTATCAGACTTTTTTAGAAATAATTCTTTGTTGATATGATATTAACGAAAAATTTACTATAATTTGTGCAACAATGTTTAAGGGTCATTATTATCTGAAATTTGCACCCCAATGAGAGTCTATTATTGAATATTTTTAACATGACTAGCAAAAAACGTACCTTTACAATTTTTAACAATAACGACAAAGTTTCTTCTTCCTCCTCGTCCTCCTCCTCTCCTTCTTCTTCTAAAATAAAACAAAGCTCAAATAAAAAAATCAAATTTATTTCTTCTTCTCATAAAAAGCAAGAACGACAACAACATGCGCCAAATTGTGATGATATTAATTGTAAAGGTTGTGAAATTGGAGAAATAGAAATAGTATTTACTGGCGG